GTCCCCTCGCGCCCTCACCTCTCAACCACTCGCAGTTGTAGTTGCTGAGGGTCCCGGCGGAGCGGAGCCAGATCCTCACCCCGTCCTTGCCCCCCCCGGCCACCTCAACCACCTCGAAGGTCTCATAGGGCGGGATGAGCACCTCGTCCTCCTCGGGGAAGAAGGAGAACTCCCTGACGGCCGCCCCGTGGCAGGTGAGCACCTCGAAGGCCGTGTCGGCGCCGAAGGCCCAGGCGCTGCCGTTTCGCCGCGACGCCGACGCGAAGTGGCCGAACCTCACCGCGCTTCCCGCCCGCGCCCGGAACCTCACCCCGCTCACCCCTCGGAAAACCCGCCGGCACGGCCGGCCCTGTTTCTCCCACAGCTCTCCCACCGCTCCCGTCAGCAGGAAATGCAAGGCCTTGAAGTGGAAACCCTCCCGGTAGTGGCGGCGGGACCTCCCGGCCGCCCGCGACGCCGCGTTGAAGGCCCGGTGCAGCGGCACCGGCGCCGTGTAGGCCAAGAGGGCCACGGCCTGCTCGGGGCTCAGCGGGGTTTTGGGGCTCGCCGGGGACCCCCGGACGCGCCACTCGGCCGCCGCCAGGGCCCAACCCGCCGCGTAGTCGGCGTTGAGGGGGAACTCGGAGCGGTTGAGCGCCGGCAGCGCCGCGGCCATGGCGGGGCCGCAGCCACGGTACCGGTCGTCGAAGGCCGAGGGCGCCATGTCCAGGGTGACCTCTTGGATGGTCCCTTGTGGGGTTGGGGGCGGTGGGGTGACCCAGGCCAGGGCGGGCAGGGCCAGGAGAAGGGTCAGCAGGGCCATGGAGGGATGTGGGGACATCAAGGGGACACTGTGGGGACACAACGGGGACACTGTGGGGACACCGAGGGGACACCGAGGGGACACTGTGGGGAGACCGAAGGGACACCCTGGGGACACCACGGGGGTGCTGGGGGACCTGGATGGGTCCAGTTTCCTCCCAGTCAATCCCAGTACATGCCCCAGTCCCCCTCAGTCCCCCCCAAGTCCCTTCTCAGCTCCCCCAGTCCCTCCCACTCCCCCCAGTCCCTCCCATTCCCCCCAGTCCCTTCCAGTCCCCCCCAGTCCCCCCAGTTAATTCCAGTACATGCCCCAGTCCCTCCCAGTCCCTCCCAGTCCCTCCTCAGCTCCCCCAGTCCCTCCCAGTCACTCCCAGTCCACCCAGTCCCTCCCCAGCTCCCCCAGTCCCCCCCAGTCCCCCCAGTCCCCCCAGTTTCCTCCCAGTCAATCCCAGCACATGCCCCAGTCCTCCTCAGTCCCCCCCAGTCCCTCCCCAGCTCCCCCAGTCCCTCCTCAGCTCCCTCAGTCACTCCCAGTCCCCCTCAGTTTCCTCCCAGTTAATCCCAGTACATGCCCCAG